GGAGCCCCCCCCCCCCCCCCCCCCTCCCTCCTTCCTTCTCACCCCCTTCCGCTAGGCGTCGTCGCCTGCCGCGCCGGATGCTACTCGTCGTGTACAGGAGCACAGCACCGGTTTCGCCGTTCGTGTAAACGTCGCCCTCCCCATCCGACTGCAGCGCGTAAGACCCCGGAGACGCGCCTCCGGTCACCTCCACAACCTCACACGTTGACGCTGTCGATACGGCGGTTGTTTCGTTCGAGGGCGAAAGGACACGGCGCGTGTCGCGTGCGTGTGTGAAAACGACGATCAACACACAAAAAAAAAAAAAAAACGACAAAAAAAAATGGACATTTCCTCTGGAGACGAAGTGCGCTCTCAAAAGACGAGACATTTTTCGGTAAAGTCAAAACATAAAACATCCACAGAAAATAAACAAACACGCGCAGCAGTATAAAAGACGTCCAGTGTTGAACGCCGCCACACTCGCTATTTTCGTCATTTTTTTCCCGCGCGGTGTGTGCCTCTCTACATTGTTTAGCTGAAGCGCTCCGATCGCGGGGGTCAAACAGGACAGCCCTTCCGAACTTGATTGGCTTGGCCCCGTCTTCGCTTCCTGGCCCAAAACCTAAGGGGGGTTTCCTTTCCTCAAGCGCACGCCCTCGAGCGCGCTCGCTATTGTGGCGAGCAACACTACGCAACTCTTCCAAAGAACAAACAAGATATTCAGGGTTAAGAAGTCCAGTATCCAGCCGGGGTTTCGCCCACTCACTGCAAAGACTTGAAATATTATATTCCCTTCGGCTATGGCTGTGGTGTCACAGGCAGGACAGTACCTCGAACGACTAAATAAATAGTCTCTCTGTGATTGTATGTCCATTCCTACTCCGGAGTGGTTCAAGTTACGGCATGCAAGTCGATACGTGAGCTCGGTCACCCAACGGCAGTAGTAGTGAAAGCTGTTGAAGCCGAAATCTAACCATTAGACTTCTTGTCGACGCCGACCACAGTAGTCTAAATGGTTTGATTTCGGCTTTTATAAAGCTCAGTGGTTCAGGTTGCGACCGCAAAACCTCCTGGCTCTATACATACATACATAGATTGCGGGTGGGTTCGTTCGCACATCCCCCCCCGGAGTAAACCTCCCAGCACCCCCGCCGCAATTTAGAAGTCGTAAAGCGCAATAGACTAGTCGTGAGCACACAAGGAAGGAGAAGGACTGCTTCAACCGTTCTCCGTTCGATGGACGGGGAGGCACGACACCCATGAGGGAGGCACGACACACCTGTTGGAAGATGTTGACTTATTTTTCTATCGTTTGTTCGGGGTGAGAATATCGGCGCAAGCTTTGTACACATTGGGGAGAGCGACACATCGATAAGGCGATACGAGATAACAGCAGAGCTATGAAAGCAAGGAAGGATAAATGCAGAGATGCAGGCAGGGTAAAACAGGCGTGGAGAATCAAGCCGGTGCAACACAGCAGTATTATTGCGAAGAAAATCCTACCATGGTAAAAGTTGTTACTATTTTGCGATACGGACAGTCGACAGAGGAAGACGTCACAAAGATTCATCCGATGTTCTTTGGCGTGCAATAGCCTACTCGCTACAAGCAGGGCAGTTCAAAACCCATGTTCTGGCAACACCTAGGGTAAGGCCGGGAATGCTGGGGTGTCGGACGGCCGGATGGGAGCAGGTTGAGAATAAAGATGTCAACATCGATGTTGATTGATGACATCGACTGTAACACATCAGGTTCCAGCAGGGAATTCTCCCGCCTTCCCGTGACACCATTCCTCCGCATCAAAATAACAACAAGAAAAAAACACCCTGCTGTGTGTTGCTGTGTCCAGATGTTCGGTCGTGCTCGTCACCTTGTGGAGCCGCCAGGGGTAGCGCGTAGAGGAGCCCTGCTACTACCGCAGCACGACGGGGCATCATCTTCTCCTCCGCTCACGGGCGTCTCTTCCATCACAAGCGCCGAGCGCCGAGCCTGCCTCTTCCGATTGTGTCGGTGCGGTTTCGAAATCGACCCGCGTACCAAAAAGCACCCCCCAGTAATTCTTCTGCGGGCCCCCTCACGCTAATCTTTCTGGTTGCCACACCCACCTGCTGCCTCCATCGAGCACCTACGCCGACTCGCTTCTTACGGTGAGAAACGAGCCCCCCTGGGGACCTCAGGAGCGGGTCGAACCTCTTTGCAACACCGTCTGGGCCGTGGTTGCTTGCCTGGGTGGGGGTTTCTCCCACGTCGTTTTTTGGCGGCCTTGAGTTCGTTTTTTTTATCCTCAACGACACGTCGGCGTTTCGCTAGTAACACACGTACTTGACGAGGGAAGAGTCCGGTCTAGTCTGTTTGTTGACCTTAGGGCCTCCCGCCCGCTGCACCTGTGCAGCCCGGCAGCCTTAACGGGGTTCCCAGCAGCTGCCTCTCATCGTGCAGGCTTGCGTTGATACCGCACGTGGGTTTGGACGGGGGTTTGCAGCAGGGGTGCTTCGGAGGGAGGCAGGCACAGCAGGCAGCGGGCGGACCGAAATGACAGATGATTGTGTCTGGTGATGTGTCGTCCATGTTTTTTTTTTTCTCGGCGTTTTTTCTGCTCCGAAGAAGTTCGCACGCAACTATTTATGAGCAAATGTTAGCCGCCTCTTGCTAAATACCTGCATCCGTTTAGCAGTCCGATCCAGTGTTGTAGAAGCTCAGAGGTTTTGTATTCAGAAAATGATTGTTAGGAGAGAGCGGGGTCGTCCATGGGGCAAAGAGGTCGATGTTAGAAGTCCATCATTGTGTCCAATCATACACATGACATATAGTAGTGCTCGGGAAATCCATCTGCAAGGAGGCCAGAACATTGTGTCTGACTCTGACCGATTTTGAATTTTCCGCATATGCGTCGACCGACCCCTCCCCAGACAACACTCGATCATCACAATCACGAATACTACGCCGCCGGATCATGGTGCCACGAAGCTCGAGCAGCAGAGAGGAGGGAGGATGTACCCCCCCGCTTCGTTGTTGGGGCTCGCCGCGGCTGCTCCTACTGGCCGCCGCCGCCGCCGCGGCCGCCGCTGGGCTGTTCGCCGGGGGGGAGGCGATGGCCGCAGCCGGCGGCGTGGTTGAAGCAGCAGCAACAACACATACGGGCGTAAGAGAACAACATCGACGCCATCATCATCACAGCAATCGCCATCACAGAAAAGACGCGGCCACGGCGTGGGTGGCGACGCCTCCCGGGGGGGGGTTCGTTCCCCCCCGGAGCGGCGTCAGGAAAGCGACAAATACCTTGAATGTGAGTAATGAGGGCCGCCCCCCCTCCTGTTACTTTTACCCTGCAGACAGAAGGATAAACACGGTGTTGTAGATGGAATACGTGTAGTCTTGGATACTCTGGTATGTACTTATGCTCATATGTGCACACATCGTCGCCCCTAGTACCCACGCGGTAAGTCTTCCCCACAACCAAACGGTGTGCTAATATTCCCACGGGGGAGATATCGCTGGCAGCCGCTGCGCGGGGAATCGCAGCATAGAATTTTTATGCAAGTTCAGCAAAGTGTCGCTCTAGAGAGGTACGTGTATCAAATCCTTAGTTTGTTGATCACGGTCTTTTTTTCTCTTTTTGCCTGGTGGATGCGAGATTTTTTCGCCGCTTTGGTTTGTGTATGAAAATCGCAGCGGTACGATTCCCCAACAATATAGGTATAGGTAGTGCATGACAACAATCAGGTTTGTGCATGAATCTTTTTGGTGGCCTCAACAATTTTCAATCGAAAACGAACCGAGGGTACTCGTTTAATTGTTCTTGATCTCGTCTTTCAGCCTGTTTTGTTTTTCCTGCAAAAAGAGTGAACCTACGTGACGTTATGTACGTATCATGCATACACCCGGCTACGTAATCAGCCAGAGGGAGTCGCTTTCGCCGCTTGTGAATTCGCCACTGCTGGGTTCCACCCATGCTGAAAAGGGCAACGAGCAGCTGGAAACAGCTCGTGCGGTTGTCTCCAGCTTTGCCCTGCGGCGCAAGGTTTGTTTGTGGGTGGTAGTCATGAGGAGAATAGAGACCAACGCGCGAAAGATACGTAGATCTCCGAAGGTGGTCGGACACGTCACAATCTACGGTTCATTCTCAGAGGTGTAATGCGCAGCGTTTGAGACGCGGAATAGCTACTGTGAGCAACTTGCGGCAGCGGTAACGCCGGCCGTGACAGCGGTCGTCGCGTTCCTCTTCTTGTGATGATCCGCCCTTATTTATGCATACGTACGCTCCTTTCTTGTTCAATAAAACATTCTCCAGTACAACACAAAAAAACTTCCCCCCCTTTCGACGACTCGCCGGCAATGTTTCAAACCTCTTGTCGTCCTCCCGAAAACAACTGTCCTCTTCTCGGGATCACTGCCCCCACCGCCTTCTACTACGACCTATTAATGAGTACTCCCCGTCCCTGAAAAACCTGATCGTTCGATAAGCAAATACCCTGACCCCCCCCCCCGGTCCTTTCGATTTGAACAGCCCGACCGTTCGGCATCGTCTTCACGCCTCGCGGCCGTCAACCCGAGACAGCAGCAGCAGGGAGTGCTCGCCGGGAGGCTTTCTCGCCACCTTAAACATGTGGCCGCCACCGGCGCCGCCGGTGCCACCAGCGGTGGCAGTCCGAGCGGCGGCGGCGGCGGCGATGTGGATTCCGACGGCGGCGGCGGCGGCGGCGGCGGCGGGGGGGGGGGGGGAGTTTCGCTTGGGGCAGCGACGACAACGACGGAGGCGGCGGCTGGAGTAGTAGCCCATGGCGGCGTAGCCACTTCGGAGGTGGAGGACGGCGGCGGTCCTGCGGACGACATCCACCCGGAAGCGGCTGCCATTGCTGGCGGTGAGAGGGATCGGCAATAGGGAAAAATCGGGAAGTGATGCCGATAGAGGATTGGGAAACGTGTTTGGGCGACCTTTGGCATGGCAGGAAGGAACGATTGGCCGTCGGTGATCGGTCCTGTGGGAACAATATTCCTTCAAGTGGTCAATGATCTAACCGCTAAGGCATGCAAGACATGAGTACCTCCCCCCCACCCATCGTGTTTTGCCACGTTTTGCGAGGCGTTGATCTGTGCGGTCATGTCCCTAACCCCGCTCCGCGCTCGCCTCTCCGTTGTCTAACGCGTTTGAATGTTTATTTTTTCGCTTGTTGCGACACCCCCCGCGAAACGATGGCAACGAAGCTGTTTTGCTCGAGAGCGCTGCAGGCGGGAGCAGCGACGGGGTCTACACGAACAACACCCTCATCCCGGCGGTAAGCGATGCGTACTCTACAAATGCCGCGCGGCGCTTTGGCGCACCCCCCCCGGTGGGGGCCATGGGCGATAGACAAGACAGCATCACGTTGATTTGTAGAACCAGCTGCAGCACTGCGAACTTGAGGAGAGGGTCTATGACGCTAGTGTTTTGTTTTTTTGCGGGGTCCCTATCTCGTGCAGGCTTGTGTCCGCGCGAAGTTGCTTCTCGCCGGTGTCGGCCACGTCAGGTACCTCCACCACCAACTGCGAAATGAGTACCTACATGCTCCAAACAACAATATTGGCGACGACAACATGAGCAGCCATTTGCAACAAACCGCCGGTTTGTAGGGTCGAAAAGAGGGTAGCCATCCTCCTGTGTCCCACCAGGTATGACTATGCCCTAAACGATTTTAACGCTCCCTTCTTGTCGACCTCTCTCGCTCGCTGCCTCCACATTTACGTCTCGACGAAAACGCTTGGATTGGAACCATGGTCCGGACTCGGGCGTTCGTTGCCACCCCGCGACCTTGCACATGACAAACACGGGACGCCACGTTGGCCAGGGCGACCACCCGCAGCAGCTCGTGAGCGACATCCTCGACATCGTGGGCAACTCCATGACCGCGGCGGACATCGAGATGCCGGTAGATGCTGCTGGTGCGGCTATCCCGCTCTCCGACCACCCGGTGAGTTTGGCGATTGCTCTTGTCGTCCCAATGTTCTTCTGCTTGTCATCCGTCTCGGCATCCGCCGCGCTGGATTTTTTTTTTTTTCATTTTCTTCGTCCCCGGCTGCTCAGAAGTGTTCTCCACGGGCTTGAGATTTTGGCGCTTCTGTTGTTTTTTAATAACAATCCTTGCCGTAAGGCAGATTTGTTGAAAAGCACTATATACGGCCATTGCTGCCGCTCTCATGGATCAGCAAGAGGTGTCACAGCAATTGTCGACGCTGCCTCCCCATCCATGTCTCGCTGAATTTGTCTCGCCGGTTTATTTGTTGTGTTTCTTGCTTTTGCCGTGTTGTTGTGATCTCCTCGGTGTCTCTGTTTTCTTCATGAATCCAGGGACCCGGCAGCAGCATCAGCACTGCTTCGGATGACGACGCTGATGGTACCTCTGATGTTGATACAGCAGTCATTGGTGACGTCGAAACTTGCTCTTCTGCGTTACAAGTTGTTGAGGGCACGGAGGACAAGGTAGGTCTGTTGAGGTTTTTGTCGTTGTGTGCTGGGAAATCTGGTGGTGGTGGGAGGAGGAGGGGGGAGTACTTCTGTTTCGCATTCCTCAGCGGTTAGACCATTGACCCAAGTGGGGGGGGTGGAGCGGGCGATGTTGGGACAAATTTGGATAGGCGTTGGACAGAGCTTCTCCACGTTTGGTGGGGGGGGGCCTTGTCAAAATGCCCTTGTGCCTAAGAGTCTAAGCTGTGTCGTGCATAAGCTCACTTTTGACCCCTCTTGGCCACCGATGTTTCGCCTTCCTGCTGTACCGCACCAAATGACAAACAATCACCAGCCTGAGGCCATATACGGAGACAATAGCTCTAACCTCGGCATGGTGACCGAGCTCGTGGCCTTCACGCTGCCGCTGCTGGTGGTGTGGTGAGTCGGCTACAACGGATGCTATGCGCTGCAACGCAAGCGAAGACTCTTCTTTTTGTTCGGGGATTCATTCCTTTTGTTTCTGTTGGTGCGGTGGTTCTGGTGCGATCTACCGGAACGCACCCTGATTAGCTACCTGTGTTTTTTTTTGTGATCCTGGTGCTGTGCGCGCAGGGGGACAGCGCTGATTGCCGAGCGCTAGAAAAGAAAGCGCCGGTGGATTTTTGTACGGGAAATGCGGTGTCCAAATCAAGTCCGTCCGCGTTGCTTGACACGGCGCGACCTTGTTTTTGCCGGGGAATAGTTTTGAGCCGCGGCAAAGCTGTCAGCACTGATTTCGAGAGCTGAGTCCTCCAACTCCCCCCTTCCCAGTCTTTTGTTTTGCTCTTGTTCCAACATGCAGTCGTGTCCCGGTTTAGCGGTTCCCTGTTTGGCGGGATGCCCTGAATAGCAGTTCCGATTTCTCGTGGCACGGCTGCACCTCGGTAGTGAAGCTACTGTTTTAGTGTGTTGCTGCCAACCCGTTTAGTGGCGATGCCCTCAATACTTGTAGCGGTTGTAACATTTTCTGACACTATGGACCGCTAAACCGGGACCACGACTGCTGTGTGCATGTATCATATATGTGAAAACGCGTCCGTCGGTGGCTTCATTTTTTGTTTTGTTTTCTTCGGCAGGCTTTCCAACCCCATCATGTCGTTGGTCGACACCGCGGTCGTGGGGGCTCAGAGCTCCGTCGAACTCGCGGCGCTGGGCCCGGGTACATCGGTGTGCGACAACCTGGCCTACATGTGCGGCTTCCTCGCTCAGGCATGGCTTGTTCTACGTCTGTGCGTTGTTGTTGATTGGTTGGAAGTATTTACTGCTGTTCCGTAGCTCAGCCATGGTTGCTATGGTGTGCTTGGAGACGTGACAAACGAGGTCGGAGTTTGTTGTAATTGATTCTCGCTTCGGCATGGTCATGCTTGAAGACGTGGCAAGGGGTTGGAGTTGATCGTATTTGATGTCCGCCCAGGAATCGGTAATGCGTGAGTGCTTGGACTGCTGTATTTTGTCAGCTGCTCGTTTCGTCGGGGCGGTGGTAGAGGTGTGCATGGAGGAGGATGGGCGGTTGCACATCGTCCCGCAGGGCTCGCTGTGTCTCGCTTGCGGAGGGAGCGAGCAGGGAACGTTTCATTTTTTTTTTTCTTGACTCTCGGTTGGAGTGGCAGCCACGGGTGTTCATTATTCAGTCGCGGACACATCCTTGACCCCAAGCACAGCTGTCGTCATCGGTGACGCCTATCCCCCCACCCCCGAATGTTCTCGAGAGAGCAGAAGTCTGACACCATCCTCCCCTCTCTCTCCCTCTCGTATCTTTTCTCCTGTGTGCCCTGATCGTCATCTCTCTCGGGCGTGTACCCGCATCGGCTTAACTCCTTCCTGTCTCCTCCACCGGAAAAAGGTTACTACGAACCTTGGTGCGAGCGCTCTTGCTAGCGGCGACAGCCTCAAGGCAGACCGGGTGAGTGGCTTTACCTCATGACCACAGGCCGTTTTTTTGTTCTGTTGCTGTCGTTACTGTTTGCCGTTTTGCTCTTGGCGTGTCGCCGCCGTTGCGTGCAAAAAACGAGCTATTATGGCGGCCACCCTAACTAATATTAAACTTGGTTTTAGTAGGGGTGGGGTTAGCGTTACGAACGCCCCCTCTTATTTCATGCTACATAGATGAATAAATAAATTCCTTGCAAAGACAGCCCCCGTTAACAACTCCGCCTGGTTCCATCCCCAATACTGTCCCGCCGTCCCACCAGGCTACCCGCACGGGAATCTTCGTCGGTCTCGGCGCGGGCGCGGTCGCCTCGGCTGCCCTTCTGAGATACGGCCGGGTGCTCCTGCAGCTCTTTCTTGGCGGGAACCCAGCCGGTACAGTACGCCGAGATATTTTTCTCATTCTTGTCCGCCACGTGAATAGTTTTTGCTTTGTTTTCGTGGCTCTTTCGTGGTTTGTTTTTGTAGTACCGGGTAGGATTTTTTGTTCTGGGGGAGGGAGAACTGTCGGGATGGTGATGAGGGGAGCCATTGGAGACTATTGCCTTGCAGACAAGGGCAAACGAGCGGGCTTTGCGGAACCAGCTCGCTCTCCGCCTCGATTGGCTGAGCGTCTCCCGCTCTTCCCCCCCCCCCCCCCCC